TGTTAATAAGAATTAATTGAATAAAAAAAAAGATCATTTTCACACGGGAGAAATTATTTCATAATTACTTTTTCGGAGCGTCATAAACATTGTAATCACTTGACATAATATCAATTGATTTAAGAGATTTTCTTGATATCTTTCTTGTCCTTTTACATCAAATCCCTATTTAATTATATAGAATATTTAGTTTTCATCGTAATATGGGATAATTGCTAGGAAATCAAATTTCTCATATACAGTTGATTTTTTAAACATATATACATATGTTAACAGATCTTACCCCATCAGCTGTTACTAAATCTACACCACCTTCTTGAGTTCCTTTTTTTACAACTTTAGCAAAATCTCTAATATTTTCTTCTTTATATAAATCACCTACCAAATACAATTATTACTAGCATTATCGCATAATACAAAAAGATAAATAAATATTCGGGGTTAAAATTACCTGTACCGTCAACTCCATAACATGGTTTAAAATAGCTATCTGGCATAGTTTCATGATGAAACCTACTAAAATCAAAATCCTGCAAATTTTTTAAAGTAATTCCCCATCCAAAAACTTTTTCTCCCCAAGATTGTTTACGTGATAACAAATATTCTAAAGATAAAATTGAATTTAGAATTATTTATATTATTAAATCGCTGTAAAAATACATTTTTTCAAACCTGTAAATCCTCCTGGTCCCCCACATAAATCCGCAAACAAAAACACCTTTTTTTGTATTTATAAAGGTAAAATATCAAGTTTTGAAATATTAACGAAATTAAAAAAAAAAGTCAAATATATTTCTTACATTATCTTTGACTGGATCATATCTTTTAATTCCAGTAAGACCGAATAAGGAATCTAAACATGCTAATTTTACAGCAGCTCTATTCATAAAAATTGAATTACCCACTTTTTCATATGGATTTGATTTCTGTCTTGCTTCTGTAAATTTTTCATGTGATATATCTTCCAAGCTATTCTATTAGCATTTTTTTTTTTTTTTTTTTTTTTTTTTTTTTACAAAAAATACAAATATATATATTAAGTATCTTATGATATTGAAGTTTCGACAAAAAAAATTATTATTATATTTATAATAGACTTAAAAAAAAATATATATATATATACCTTTTTTTCTAGAAGATTGTATACAATTTTAGAATCACAAAATAGATTATAGTCAGGTTCATTAACCTTTGATAACAAAAACAAATATTAATTTTTTTTAAAAAAAAAAAAATTCAAAGTTCTGTTCAGAACCTTTAAAGGTTAACTTACTTGGCCAACAACCATATTTAATCCCTGAATAAGCCTTTTTTCTTCATAAGGAAAATTACAAGAGATAAAATCAACATTTTGTTTAGGTAATTGTATTATATTAGGTAAAACAATGCTTTGATCTTTTGTAGGACCATCAGCAATTTGATGAATCGGAGGAAGGGTGGTAGAAGAAGATGATGGTACAAATGATAATTGAGAAATGCTTGATAAAGAAGGTAAAACAGTTGAAGATGAGGAGGATGAAGACAATACTGGAATAGAAGGTGGAGGAGGTTGATGCTCTTGAGTTGGATTTCGATGATGATCTTCTCTAAGCCGCTCTTCTTTTGTATAAGATTGTGGAGCCTGTGGTGATTGTGGCGATAATTGTTTTTGTTGACCATATTTATTTGAATTATAATTAGAATAATTATAATTTCTATGTTGGTGTTGATGTTGTTGATACTGATGATTTTGAGAACTATAATAATTGGATTGTTGGTAACCAGATTGTTGTTGATATTGGTTCCTATTAAATGAACCTCCTCTTCCTCCTGAGCTTCTGCGTTGTTCAGGAAGAGTGACCGTTCTAACAGAGGGTTTTATAACTCGAGAAAGTAATGGAGTATCACGGTAATCAGGATCATCATCTAGATAAAAAAAAAATTAGTAAAATATTTACATTAAATTTCATTTAAAACCGATAATTAAAAAAAAAATTAAAAAAACAAAATTACTATTATATGGATCCATCGAAAATTTTTGTAACAAGTATAAAATATTTATTTTTTATTTTCAATTTTTTATATTGCATTATGGGATCAACAAATGTAAGATCATCATATTTATTTTCCAAAAAAGATTTGACAAGCTGTCATTTTTTTACAAATCAACCTTTATACAAAGTTTTACATGTTTATTATTATTATATTATTATTCAACAAATCACTTATTAGATCGCCAAAATTGCGTTCTTTAAAATACAGCATCGCCTTTACCTCAGAATCAACAAAATCTCATCTCGGCCGGCATTACGGCATTAAGAAATTAACCATATAACATATAACAAAATATTTATTATTATAAATTAATAAAATTAATAGAATTAGTAGAATTAATAGATAAAAATATAAAGTAAAAAATATTTAACATATAAATAGAATAAAAAGAATGTTATTAAAAAACCAATCAGTTTTTATTATATAAAATATAAGTTAAAAAAATGAAATTCTTAAATATCATATATCAAAATTTTTTATTATTATATTAAATTATTTAAATTATTTTTTTATTTTTTTTTTTAAAAAAAAAATTTTAATTATAAAATTTAAATTTATTAACTTTTATCTTAATTATAAAAAAAAATTTTTTGTTATTAAATTTATTAAATTATTATAATAAATTTAAAAGTTACTTTTATATATTTAAAATAATATTTATATATAATAATAATAATAATAATTTTATTAAATATATTTTTTAAAATAATAATTTAAATAAATTATTAAAAAGTAAATTTTATAAATTATAATTAAGTTATAATAATAAAATAATAAAATCAAAATAATTTGTATTTAAAAATAAAATTATTTAATGTAAAAATTATATTTAGTATCCCTTAAATTGTAGAGTAGGCAAATTTTCTTGCAAACATAAAAAAAAGTATCAATTTTTTAATAAAAAATAAAATATTAATATTAATAATATAATTATTATATAAAAAATATAGTTTAATATATATTTTATCAACTTTATTAGAAGAAATTTAAGTTTATTAAGAAGTTTTTTAAATAATTCAATTTTTAAATAAGTTTTGAAAAATTTATTATAATAATTTTTTAAAAATTTTCTTAAAATTCATATATTTGCGAACTAATTGAATTACTTTACTATTAATAAAAATCATAAAATTTCTTAGTAAATTATAAAAACTGTAATAATTAAAATTATTCTTTATGATAAATTTTATAATATTCTATTATGATTAATATTATTAAAGTAAATATTAATAAGATTGTCAAAGATCAATGATAAAATTTTTTAATATAAAAATTTTATAAAAATTACAAATTTTAGATTATAAGTAATTTTAAATTCTTAATTATATAAAAAATTACTACAATATTATATATATTTATAAAATTAATTTAAAAAAAAAATTTTTTAAATTTAATTTTTATAAAAATAAATCAGAAGAAAATTTATATTAAATAAGCAGGTAAATTTGTCTATAAAATTTTATAGTTTAAAAAATAATTACTAAATATTATTGATTATTATATATATTTTTTAATTTTAGAAAATTATTATTTATTCTTATAGTAATATATTATTAATTCTTATATACCATATAACTATTATATTTATTATATAATTAATTGATTTAATATATAATTGTTTATAATATTAAATATAGATTATCACTATTTTTTCTTATAATTTGTCCTTTTCATAATTTATCATAATTACTTCTTTTACCTTTTATTAATATTTAATAATTTATTTCATTCTTAATCATTTTATATTTAAATTAACTTATTTTTTTATGTTAAATATATAATATAAATGAAAGGAAAGTTATAAAAGTACTAATAACGTTATATTATTTGCTATTTAGAATTATAATTGTATTAGTATTTAAAGTTATGTAGTATTGACTTTAAAATTATATTAAGGTTAGAGTAAAGATAAGTAGATTAAATAAAAAATGTTAGCTTTGAAATTGTGTTAGAGTTTGAATAAAAATAGATAAGTTAAAGTAAAAATATTAGCTTTGAAATTATGTTAAGATATTACAAAACTTAATATATAAAGAAATAAATCAATAAGATTTTGAAGAAATAAAATTATAGAAAATTATTACAAGTAATAAAGAAAATTTTGATTCTTTAGTACTAAAGTTATAAAATCCTAAGATGCATTATAAAAAAGGTTGATTATTGAGAATAAAAAGGGTTAAGTTTTATTGTAAAGCATCTAAATTTAAATCTAAATATAGATTTACTATAAAAAATGTGAAATATTTAGTTATTATTAAAAGAATTACAAGATATTTTCATACTTTTTTTACAATTCTTTTAATTATGTTTATATTAAGATTACTATTACATTTTATCAAAAAAGTAGGAGAAGCAGTTAATAATTTTAATTAATTGTTCTTATTATTTGCTTTTTATTATTTACTAATGTAAAGTATTATTTGCTAATATAATAAAATATATAATAAATAAAATCAAAAGAGTCACATGAAATATTAATCATATGATTTTAAGAATTAGCAATATTTTTACTATAGAAATAATTTACAAAATCCTTACCAAATATTGGCCTAATATATATAATTCGGTAGCACTAGCTGCAAATTTCAAGTTATAAATGAACAAATAAAAAAAAAATATGTCAAACAATTCTAGTCAACTTTTCTTAGTATTAAATTAAATAAATAAATAAATAATAAAAATAAGAATAAACACTTTATTTTTTTTTATAATTTATAGAATCATAATAAGAATATCATAATAATATTATAATTATTATAATTTTATTTGTATTAAATAAATTTTCATAAGTTATTTTAAAGTTTTATAAAATATTAACAAAAATAATATTTAAACTTTAAATAAATAACAAATCAGGCAATAAGATATATTATAGTATAGATTTCTGTATTTACTTTTTTATTTTTAGCAAACCCGTTTCAAAGGACACTAAAACTTTTATTTCTTCGACATTTAAATTTTAAAGCATGACTCAGTTACCTTTACCACCAAAAGTTTCCCCTCAAAATGTAGTAGATGCTCAAGTATTATATGAACGTATAAAAACGATCGCTTTATGGTATTATGATAACATGTCTTTGTAATAGATACTCAGAGAAACCTCTCTAATTGTACTCTATAAATGCACCATTATCCCTGGCTTAGCCATAAGCTTTAGGAACAAATATTAAAAATTTACTCTCTCTAAACGCACACATCTCTAAATGCATACCTCATGTCAGTAATATGGCTAGAGAGGTTTCTCTGTAGTACTAGATATATCAATTAACGTTTTTTTGTGATCTTTAATAATTACATAGGTTAGATTCAATCCCTATATATGGATACCAATTGCCAATTGGCTTGGAAGCAATCCTTGGTTTTCTACCAGCCTTTGGTATAGTTTGCAAGATGTCAATCAAATTTCCTTTCTATTAGCGAAATTTAACAATGTTCACATCTTATAGGTGATTTTATTGGATTGGCGTTGGGAATGTATCAAGTTTATTTGACAAGTTTCTTTGATATTCCAGTAAATCTTTTGATGAGAATGATTATGCATGTTTTACTTGATTTTATTTTCGGAATTTTACCCGTCGTTGGTAAGAGAGTCAATCATTCATATTTTCAATATACTTATTCATTTTCTAATTGTTCTCTTTTTGTTGGAATAACTTAGGTGATCTACTTGATATCTTTTATAAATCGAATATTTATAATTTGAATCTTCTCGAATCTTGGTTAAGTGAAAAATACGGAAATCGTATAAAATTACAGAATAATGATCGTGGAAATAAATATCAACATGCTCGTAATTATTAACAAATATAACATCATAATCTTTTCATTTATTTCTTTTGAATTCAATAAAACATAACCTCAATTATCAAATGCGTATATCTCAAATTTATATTTGCCAAGCTTCATCTTTGCTCATCGTTTCCATCATGTTTTGATATCCACCATTTTTTACCAACGCTCGCTTTTTGAAACCTAAAATCGCGTTGTAGTAATCATATTGTTCGTTTCCTTTTTTTGGCTTTGTCAATTTCTTGGCAGATAATAATTTATCCGCGATGTAATGAAGCCACTACGCATTTGATGTTAATTTTGAAAGAAAAAAAAATAATACACCGTATGATAAATTAAAGATTTTGTTAATACTTACGAATACATTAGTTTTTGGCCAGAAAGATTTCCAATCGCCTTTTGTCTCTTCTCTCATCATACGGTAGACATCAAATTGATAATCACCTGAAATCGTGTGAATAAGTTTCATAATTTTCAGAGAATTAAGATTAAAAATGTGCCTCACCTTTCCCGGTAAAATATCCTTCATCTACTATATCTACGTGGATAATTTCATTTCCTAAATTGATTTGAAATAGTATTAAACAGATAGAAAAGGATCAAAATATCAATAAAAAAAAACTAATTGCGTAGATTAACAAACCACGTTCCATCCGAGATAACGTATAGTCTATTATACAAGCCCGCACTCCAAAAGTTTTGATTTCAACGTTTATGTTAGCTGAAGGCAAATTATATGATACATACTTAACTTTAGTTTGTTTAATTGTTATGTTTCCCCAATGAAGATCACGGTGCTCAAAATAATGATAAAAAAAATTGTTTAGATATCAGTTCGCCCTAAGTAAATAAGCGTATAACAAACTATCTTACTTCGAAATTTAGCGACTAAAAGAAATTGTTTAAGATAAGAATTTTATTTTAATAAAATAATTAAAAATTAATATAATCCTACCTGTTCAGCCTGTGCTATACTCCATCCAACTTGTGTTAATACACTCCAAGCTTGTGCCCAATTTTTTAATTTAATATGTTCAAGATCCAGACCTCCATACTCAACAATTAACACGGCATAAAGCTGTTTATCATCAAAGTAATCTTTATAATATTGCAAAAATATTAGGATTAAGCCATTCACAAATATAAAAAATAATTAATTTAAAGACCTGGACGAGCGCTTTCCGACTTATATGCTTTATCCCATCGATCCCATTCTTTTAATAGGACTTCAGGATATTTACCACGGCAAACACCAACTCTTTAAAAAAATGTATATAATTAATTGGGATTGTTTATAGTCAATCAAAAGTCATAAACTTACCCATATAATCTTAAGAAACCAACCCTCAATTTTGGGTCAAGGCCAGTTCTTCCTCCCAACTCTAATGTGGTTTTGATCTCTTGAGTAATATCCCTTACACTACATTGTTCCTCACCATTCACTAATATTTCTTTTCCTCTTCCAAATGGAACGATCTTGAAGACACATTTCGTTTTTGTGGTAGTAAACTTTGGCGCGTATGCTGTAAATACTTCAGAAAAACTTGCCTCTCCAATTTTCATGGCATTATTAAGACAACTTAAGAGGCATCGAAATATGACTATTAATATTGAAAATTTAAATATTCAAAAGTAATGATTTACACTCACTCCTTCCCAAGAAATTCTTCAAAATCCCATAAATGCTCTTGGTCACAAATCCACAATAATTTTGTTAATTCTTGCGATTCATTCCTATCCTGCTCAATTTCTTTAGCAGGTTTATCAAACTCGGCTTTGTGATCCTTTATAAAACGATGTTCTAATTTCTTGGAAATCTGACTATTTGAATCGATTTCAAAGTCATTATGACAGATATCAACGTTCTCTTTTTCACTAAAATTATTCAGATCCTTTATAATAACTTTGCCTAATGATTCACTATAATGGTCGTAATCTTTGGACGGTGAATGATATTTTTTTTTAAATGGCTTTTGTGACATTGACAATTGGGTTTTATTTATTGAATTGTTAGGTGACAAGGTGCCTTCCTGGATCATATTCTTTTTGGATATTAACCGACTTGGCGAAATGTTATCTATTTCATTTACACGGGAAGTTTCATTTGCATGGTTTACTGGTTTCGGTGATTGACGAGTGGGCGAAAGATAATACTTGGGTTTTGTGAATCCCTTCGTGAATGACTTCCGCTTGACTGGTTCGCTTTCCGAGCCTTTAGTAATAAATGAGTGTTGAGTTGTAGAGTTTTTAAATTTAGATATTTTATCTTTCGCCAAAGAAATCTCTGTATCATTAGTTGTTCCTTCTAATTCTTTATTTATTTTATGATTCAAAGTATGAATTGCAATAACGCGTTCGTTGCTTTTCTTTCCATTGGTTCTAATCATATCTTTCTCCAAAGAAATCTCTGTATCTTTAGTTGTTTCTTCTAATTCTTTATTTATTTCATGTCTCCAAGTATGAATTGCAATAACGCGTTCGTTGCTTTTCTTTCCATATGCTCTAACCCTATCTTTCTCCAAAGAATTCTCTGTATCTTTAATTGTACCTTCTAATTCTTTATTTATTTCATGTCTCCAAGTATGAATTGCAATAACGCGTTCGTTGCTTTTCTTTCCGTAAGTTCTAATTGTCTTTGTCGTAGTACCAAGATGGTTCATTTTTTTTAAATAACAATAAAATAAATTTACGGTTTATGTAAAACGCGGAAAATAATACTGTAATATAAGGAACAATGCATATATGTATTTAACCATTTATATTTATGGTAAATAAACCGATTTCCAAATTAGGTCATGTGGTTAAGGGGTCATGTGAAAATCTACTATATCTACTATGAAACCATGAAATCGACATGAATTTTTATTGAATATTTGAATACCTGAATTACCATTACCATGGCAAAGATTACAACTGGAGAGCAATATATTCGTACATTAGCTCAATATATTCGTTCTAATGAAAGGAGATTAACAACAACAAACTCACCTTCGCCTTCATCAGGCCATTTATCTGGTCATAAAAGAACTGATACTGGAGGTGGTAGTTTTTCAATGACGAACTTATGGTCTTTCTCCGCTGCACTAACAAGTTCTTACTTGAAACCAACAACTACAACAGCATCTACAACTCCAACTTCACCACCAAGTTCAATAAATAATCCAAATAAAATTTTTGTGACTCTTGATCCTCATCATTTATATTATTTGTTGGCAAGATTCAGTGATTTAGGATTTGATGTTGGTGCTTTTGAAGCTGTTGTTGATTTCAAACGGGGTGATGGTGAAACTCTCGACATTGATATTAAAGATCTAGAAACTTCATCAATTACATCCTCGAATTCAGTTAGCTCAATGTCTTCAGCGATGTCTTCCCTTTCATTATTTTCAGGATGGCAAGGGTGGTATTCTGCCGCTCAAAAAAACGGACCAGTTCCTATTAATCAGGAATTACAATACATTTATCGTTCATTTATAAAGCTTACCGGTTTAAAACTTGCGATCATTAATCAAAAGAGAATAGATGGTTCTGAGAATTGGCCAAATGGTGCAATGTTATCCATGTCCTTCTTTAAAAATTTGACACATTTGGAAATTTATGGACTAACACCAAAAATGTTTGATGGTTGGGATATTTTACAAGAGAAAGTAGAGTCCTTATCTTTACAACAAGGTTCAATTGATGATATTTATGAGTTATTTGTTGATGCAGTTGTTGATAGTATGAAAAGACGAAAACAAAATGACAATAAAGCTATAACAAACAATGGTCAGGTCGCCAAAGGGCCTCAAGATGTAGTTGAACAACCAAAAGCTAGGGATCTTAATGATTACTCACCAGATAGTATTTTACCACAAAGAATTTGGCCAAATCTTAAACAAGTCTATCTTTCTAATAATTCACTTACCTTTGTTGCTAGCGAGCCATTAGCTTACATTAATAAAGTCACTCATTTGGATTTATCACAAAATTTACTCATTGCTGTTCCTTCTGGTTTATCTCAACTTTATAACTTACAACATTTAAATCTTAGTAATAATATGATCGAGTCCGTAACGGGAATTTATAAAATGCTTAGCAATATCACAAGATTGGAATTACAAAATAACCGAATTGAAAATTTGTGCGGCCTTGAACGATTATGGTCGTTAGAGTATGTAGATATTAGGGAAAATAAATTAATGGATTGGGCTGAAGTTGGTCGTATGACGGAACTTCGAGATATAATGCAGATTTACGTTGAGGGAAATCCTTTTACAAGATTTCAGGTTAGTTCAATTTTTAATTTAATATGATGACAAATGAAACTTTTGCCATAATTTTATTGTATTTATAGTTATGCATTAAACTGTTTAAATCGAATTTAATTTTCACAAAAAACATTATTTTTCTTTATTTCCTTCTACTTCACAAAAATGTATATATACGTGTGTATATATTTTTTGATATTTTTAGCCCCATTATCGAGTAAGCATATTTACTGCTTTTCGTGAGAATAATAAGGATATCATCTTAGATGGTACAGCTCCTAGTTATAATGAACGCCGCCAAATTAACGTGTATCCACAATCCTTGCCTTCAAGTCAAAAGGATCCTGTAGCCGTTCTAAGCAATGATTCGATATTACCTAGCTGTGTAGTATCCTCAGATGACCAAAAACCAACGGTTCCTGTATTGAAAACAAAAAAAAGCCGTAAATTTCATAAAAGAGTTGTTAATTTGGATCGAGATGATGCATACAACAGTGGAACAGATGGATCTGATATAGCATCATCAAAATCTGGCAATGAAAAGAAAAAGAAGAAGGGCAAACTGATTAAAAAATCAACCAATGTTCCGATTAAAGATCCTGCAATGTTATCCGGGGATGAGTATAGACGTAAAGTAGAAGAATTACGAACTGAAGGTGGTTCAGCTTGGTTAAGAGTTTTAAGCGAAATGGAGTATGATAAAAGTGGTGCTGATAGGTTAAGAGAGCCACCAAAAATGAAAGCGATAGTAGATCAAATTATATCGACTAGAGATCGAACATAAAAAAAACAATAATTTTTTTTTTCCCTTTATTTATCATTTCTAATCCTTTTGGTAGGATAATGTGTAATTAATTAGCTATTTTGTATCTTTAACCTCGTGATTGAAATTGGTCAAATTTTATCTATTTTCAATTATACATAGTAAATTAGTCAACCGATTCCAATCTCTCTCCTTTTTTTTTTTTTAAAAAAAAAAAAAGTGTCATGTATCTCAATCTGTATTCACATTCATATATATTTACATATTTGGAATGTATAGCGAAACCAGTCATGAAGGATTTTGAAATAGTTTTGGGAAATCGTTAGATGGTTCTTCTGAAACTTTGTTATTGTAGTATATACTTTTTATAATACTTTCATTATTTATATTATTTATAAATCAATTATCAATTTTACATTTTTCAGATTATTTGCTCGTCTTTTTAAACAAATTTTTTAAATTTTGTTAGACTTATTTGATGATATTATACTTTTTTTATTAAATCACTTCAAGGATCCATACGATTCACTTTCACTATCGTACTCAATTTTTAGAGAATAACTGCAAATAAAACTAAAAAATTAATATATGACGATAATTTTTCTGTAGAACAATTAATTGAACGATTTACTAGATATAGATAAATCAATATTTATTTAATTGAGGCTTTTTTAAAAAATTTTATTAAGCAAACATAAAAGAAACTTTGATTTTTTTAATTCAATGACAAAATAAAATTGCAAATAACCGCAACATAAAAAAAAAAAAATAAAATCTAACTTATATAAGCATTTGAAAAAAAATAAGCTAGAAAATCAGATAATTACACTTTGGACACACAATTTCTCAAGACTGTTAATGCAAATAATCTCCATTAAAAACACCAATGAAAAATGACTTATTCCTCCTTTTTAAGATTTCCGGCGTAAGTTCTAGCCTTCTCATAGATACCACCAGTATGTTGCTTTGCCACTTTGAAGCCACTAATAAAACCAATCGTTGAATAAGTTAGATATAACAAAATTATAAAAACGTGTAAGATTGGTTGTTAAACTTACCGATCCATTTGAGTGTGTAAAATCTTGTTGATGTGATTCAATTTTTCGTCAACAAGTTTTTGGTTTTTCTGATATCCTATAGGAGCAGTGAATCCAAGAACAACGGCTGTGTAAAGAAAAGAATAAAAAGGTGACAAGTGTCAATTAAAAAATATTTAAATCTTTTAGCTTCGATCTTTTCTTGAAAGTATAAAATCATACCAATTCCAAAGAATGTTCGGAAACTAATCCAACAACCTAAAGTCCATAATCCATAAAAGATAAAAACATACTATGTTCAAAAATAAAATAATAAAAATTAGTATTCTGATTTTAGAAGAAACGATCAGAATTCTTTAAATTAAGAAAATAACGTACTTTGATTGTTCTCAATGGATCTTCAACCAAAACGATCCTTTGAATTTCTAGCAGTGAAAAGTTGATCGCTTCGATTGTGAAATCTAAATATTTTTCAACATTTTCGCGTTCAATATGCCATGGCTTTTCTGCCAGAATGGTTCTAATATTAAATAATTCATTTCGTCAATCAAAATAAAAATCAAAAATAAATCGAAATCTAATTTGAACAAGCATATACATACTCATACGGATTGACGGGTTTTTGGTTGAGCAAGGAATGCAATTGTTTTCGACCATTTACATAAATCCAATTCGATCCTATCAACGTAACAGCTAATGCGCAGAATGTGTTGAACAAGGAATAGTATGAAGTGAAAATCAAGAATGATAAACCGGCTAACAATACAGCTGCGGAATTTGTAGAATTTTCCCAATAGACGAGCTTTTCAACTAATAAATTAAACGTTATTATAATAATTAATATAAATGTGAACCAATCTCACTTGTTTCCATAATATATGAAAAGATTACCTTTATAAGTGAAAGTTTTAAATGGATCTAATTGAAAAAAAAAAATGAATTAGAAAATTCGTTTATATGATCACGTGCACTACATTAGATCAAAGCTATTTCATACTTTTGGTTATCCTTTTTGACGAAGCTTCGGTCTTTCTCTCATTATTTACAACAAAAGGCCGCTTAGGCGTAATGGGAGAAGCAGCGTCAGAAGAGGCGGAGGAGGTAGAAGAAGAGGAGGAGGAGGAGTGTTCGTCTTTGGAAACGCGTTCTTCAGGTTCATTTGACGTTTCTTTGGTGCTACTCATGTTTGCTGCTTCCTTAAGTGTTTCAGGTAACATATCATTAATTGCGTCCATAGTTAATATGATTTATTAAGCGTAACAAACGAAATTTGATAAATTGTAATAAACAAAGAAAAAAATTTTTTTTTGAATTTTTTAAGAGCGGGAAGTACCAAATTTATTTCTTTTTTAAGGGTTCATAGACGTTTTTATAACAAAGAAATATCTTTAAAGTACAGACACTTTGTGAACACAATATTACTATAACGAAAGAAATCAAGTTTTTTTCAACTTGAACTAGATAAGGATTTATTGATGTATTATGAGAAAGATCCCTTGATTGTATAACTAGTTTGATTAAATTTTCTCAAGTTTCTAATATTATGTAGTAAGGCGTTTAATGCAGTAATAATGATGTAAAGCTAAATTTCGATATTACATAATTTATATCTCATCGCTGTCCATTTCTGATTTGTCTGTTTCGACAAAGTCAAAAAAGCAAACGAGGCTGAAATTTGGCGGTATTGCAAAATTCAAACGTTTTTTTTAACAACAAAGAAATCTTAAGTGGACAGACGTGGCATTTCAAGATTCGCGATTCGATCATGCAGAAATATCGATAATATTCTCACATGCACGTGTTTACGTTGATCATTGTGGCTCATATAATGATCATTTCTAAACATGAGTAAATTAAGTATTTAATTAAAGAAAGAATATTTAATATTTTAAATTCTTTAATATATTATTTAAAGATTTAAAAAATAGATTATTTTTTTTTATTAAAAAAACTCAGTTTTTACTTTTATATATTAAATATAATTTTTAAACTAAATTAAAATTATTATAAAATCTTATATAATAAAAGTATCATATTTTTCTAAAAATAAGCAACCCTTTTTTGCTATAGTATTATTTATTTTTGTTGATTAAATTTTAGATTTATCATTTATGATATATTACATAATTGATATTTTGTATAAAAAATAATAAAACAAAAATATAAAATCTAAATTATAAAATAAATATAAAACTTATACTCAGTTGAATATAAGAAAAATAATTTCTTATGCAAAAAATATTAAAAATAACCAAACAGTAAGATATTTTAATATTGAATATAATATGATAAATCATTAAATAAATGAATTTAAATAGATAAAAAAAATAAAGAAAAAAAGTAAGCAGATTAGTTTAATCAAAAAGCTTTATTTTAAAAATAAAAAAAAACTTTATACTTGAATTATATAATAAAGAAAATAAGGTCTTGCAGTAATTTACCGTATAACGGGAATCATAATATCCTGAGTATAATACAAATTTTAAGGAATTGAATACTATACCCAGGGTATATTATACAGGATATAGTAGAGATACTGTGCATAAGAGAGATATAAGGTTTATAAAGTACCCAAAATATTTGCCATATATAATATCCAAACATATTTATATTTTAAAAGTAAGATAAATTACCTTTTTAGAAAAAAAAGATTTATAAAAATCATATTTATCTATTTCTTCCCCTATGTTGTATAATAAATCCTTATAAATAATAAACACATTTTTATTTCTTTATCTTTTATTTTAACATAAATTATTTTAAAATAAAAATGATTATTATTAGAAACAAAAAAATCAAAAAGTATGTAATCATTTATCACAAAAGAAAAGACGATAATGAAATGTAAGAGAAAAATTAATAGTAATTCATTTTTTAGAAAATAATAGAGAAAGTAAATGTGGAACTGCCAAATATTTTAATATTCAACTAAAATAAGTACGTAAATAAAATAACAATAAAGCAAATTATTAGCATATATATCTCATATTCTTAAGTTTTATCCAAGTAAATTTGCTAAATATACAGATTTAGAAGGTGAATTATATATATGAATTTGTGATAGAAGAGTAAACCAAAATGCTGTTAGCTAAAAAAATGATTACCAATAAAGCAATTATATTATCTAAAAATCAGAATTTTTTAGTAAATAATCCAAATATCATTTTATTCAAATTTTCAAACAAATGGCTAAGTAGATTTTTAAGAAGATATAATCTTAATAAATTATGTAAAATAACAGTAGCACAACAATTATCACAAGACTTGCTTGAAAAATAAATATTTTTTTAAGTTATATTTTATATAGAAGGATTCAGCATGACTATCTGTTAAAATACATAGATAATATGAATGAAATACCTTTATGATTTGATTTACTAAATAATTCCATTATAGATCATAAAGGTACAAAAATGGTTAGCATTCGTATTATAGGTCATGAGCATTTATCTTTTACAGTTGTACTTACATATATAGCTGATAGTAGTAAACTTTCAGCAGTTTGCATTTTTAAGTTAAAAAATTTATCAAAAAAAAATTTTTCTCATGATATTTATATACAAGCAAATGAAAAAGAGTGGATAAATAAAAAGAGATGCTATAGAAACTGTATAAATATCAAGAAATTCTTTTAATAATTCACATTTCTTATTGGTAATGAATTCTTTTCGCAGTCATATTATAAATTCAGTTAAAAATCGATTGGTAGAAAAAAATACAAATATTGCTATAATTCTAGGTAATTGCACATCAAAATTGTAACTGTTAGAAGTTGTAATTAATAAAAGCTTTAAAACTAAGTAAACTAGTATATAATTTTTAAGTTTAAATTTTATTATTAATAATTTAAAATATTTTTTTAAATTCTTTAATTTTTTTATTAATATTTATTTATAATTTGAAGATTAAAGAATGATATAATAATTGGATGTTATCTACCATTTATGCTCTTACTTCAGCTGAAAGAATTAAAAAATCTTCCTATTCAACAGTTATAACATAGGTTAAGGAATTATAGGATAAAGTTGATGAAGATCTTATTAGAAGGTCATTTAAATGTTATAGAATTTCAATGAATACTGATGGTTCAGATAATAATAACTTATTTGATTATAATAAATTATTAGATATGCTGAAAGATAAAAATGAAGTAGATTTAGAAGATAATTCTAACAATGAAGAATATATTAAAGAAAATGATTATAAAAATGAATGGAAAATTAGAATAAATAAAGGTAAAAATAATGAAATTAATTGTAGCAATAACAATAATGAAAGAGAAGATAGAAATTAAAATTAAAATTATTTTTTTGATGAGGAATAATATTCTACATTAAAAGAATTAAGAGAATAAAGATATTAATAATGTATTATATTTTAATAATATTATATAATAATAAATTTATCAATGTATATCGAAAGCTTTACGTTAAAGCTAAAAAAATATTTTTGATTTTTAAAAAAATATATATTGTAAATATAGAATGAAAAAAAAAAGACAGATAAAAAAATGCTAGAATAACGTCATCAATTTTTTTATTAGCCAATATAATTTATAGAGATATTCTGAATATTTTATAAATTTTGAAGATTAAAATCTGAATATCTCTATGTAAAATATCCAGGTATTTAATAAATCCAAAAAAAAATTTGTATAGGATACTATACATAGGGGTATTATGACCTGTAAAATATAATATATAACAATAAAAAATAAAATATTAAAGATCTTAAAAAAACCTGAAATAATAACTTTTTATGATAATTAAAAAGAAAAATTTAAAATAACTTAACTTTAAATATTAAATTTTATGAAAGATTTAATTTAATATAATATAAATGCATCAGAATTTCTTAAAAACTTTTCAAGAATAACTAGAAAATTTCATCAATTTATTAAAAATTTAAGGATTAAAAGTTATTTGAATTAAAAAAATATTATTATTAATATGAATAAAATATTGTTTTAGTTTAATATAGCTAATATTTATATAATTAACTCAAAAAGAAAAAGAAAGTTCATATTCAAGTTATAAAAAATGAAAAGAATCAATTTATAGTAATTCTTATATATATCTTAAATAAATCATTTTATTTTTTAATTTTTTTTACCTTTTTTTCTTTAATTTTTCACTTTTTTAAAATTTTTTAATTATTATTTTATGTATTTTTTTTTAAAAAATAAGTTGATTAAGTTTAATTTTACAAGAAATTACAATAGTAAGAAATATCACTAGCATTTGATAATACTGTATATTATCTACAGATTTATTATTAGCTATAGATCTATATTTTATTTGGAATAATATCAATACTGATTGTGATTCTTGCTTTAATTCTATTAATTTTAGTGATCACCTTACCTTAAATTCTTTAATAGTATTTAAATTATCAATTTAATTATCACTATTTTTAATACTTATTTCTCAAATAACATTTAGATTAACTACATTTAAATTGTTTAAAGTTTATTACATCTTCAATTTTTACCTGTAATATAAATATTATACTAATGTAATACTGATTTGCAAAGCATATTACTATTATTTTAAATACCTTTTCTTTTTAATTACCTAATCTGTATCAGGTGTAATATTTATTTAATTAGCTATTATATATTTTTATATATTTTTAAACTAATCTTCTAAATTTTTCTAAGATGTTCATAAAATATTAAGAATTCATATCTTATCATTTCTATTTATTATATATTGTAATAAAATTATCAAAACTTAATTGATCTATATAATATATTGTAAATAGTTACATAAGTGGTACAATTAATATGATCAACTTAATAGATGTATTTAATTTATGTAACATAAGAAAGTGCAGATCAAAATGTCAAACATGTTAAACATATTTGATATATCTAATATATTTGGCATATTTGATATATTTGATATATCAGACATACCTAACATATATAATATATTAGATTTATATTAAAAAGTATATAAAGGGGTTAAATTCTTAATAAGAAAATAACTATCAATTGCTAAATACAATCTGATCAGTTTAACAATAACTATATACTGCCTTTTTTGTAAAGATAATACAAGACTACTCTTTTCTATTTATGATTAATTCTTCTTTTGTATTTCTTTATTATAATATTTTTAGCTTTTAGTTTATTTATTTACCAATAAATCTTTATTCAATTTACTTGAAACATTTTGTGATACTTTGTATTAGTAACATAGTTTATATTTATATTTAACTTAACATATAGAAA